ACACGCAGCTCTGTGCCAGCCCAGGGCAGAGCACGCCCTCCATGGGGGAGCAGAGAGCAGGCTGGAGCGGGTGGGATGGGTCTGCTCTGCGACCAAGGAAAGAGCAGGGCTTCTGCCTCCTCACCCCAGAGACCCCTGAGGGAGCTGCGGGGTCCAGGCTATACACAGGGGTCCTGGCTTTGCAGCGCTGGCGGGGGTGGGGGGGAACAAGGCAGCGATGCGGCACGCCGTTGTGAATGGTGTGAGCACAGCTCCATGGCTGGTGATGGCCCTGGCCGGTGTGGCCGGGAGGAGACACGGTCCAGGCCCTGCCCTGTTTTTGCTCAGCTCTGTGACAGTCCCTGGCACTTGGAGGAGCCTCAGGCCTGCAGCACAGCGAAGACCTTGGGCAGCCGGCAGCTGTGACCCCGCAGTGACCGCCAGGCTGGCAAGCCCATTGTATAAATCACTGGGTGCCGCAGCGAGAGGCCTCCTGCAGACCTGAGCACTGCTGTCGGCTCCCGCATGTCCGCAGGCCCCAGTGCAGCTCGCAGCCCGCAGGGGACGCTTGTCACTGGCACTAAGCCCTGTTTGTTTGCAACACCAGGGTGAGTTCTGGGGCCAGGCTAGTCAGCGCCCACAGCTGGGGGCAGCTTTGCACTGTTTACCCACTGGGCTGGGCATGTCTCAAACCCTGGGTGCATAATTAGGTGCCTAACGGGGACCCGGCGCCCTCGCAGTGCTGGGCGCGGTTCCGGTGGCAGACCAGGCTGGGAAAGGGCGAGATAGGGAGCCGGTGACGCTGACGGGTAGAGGTGGGTGTTCTATGTTTCCTCTGAAAGTGTGGGGGTGCAGTTTCCTAGGAGTTCTTAAGTATCTAGGGGGTGGAGTAAGGGGGTCATTGAACCCTAGGGGCAGGTGTGTGAAGGGTCGGACACAAGACCACGTTCCTGAACGTGGCCCCTGCAAGGTGAGAGTGAAGGGTTGGAGAACAAAGGAATCGGTGCTCTGGGGAAAGGAACAAAGCCCAGAGGAGGAGGGGGGGGGGGTTTCAGTTGGGGGTGGTGGGACATGGAGTGAGTGAGAGTGGTTGTCTTCCGCCCCCAAAATGACCCAGTGAGGGGTCCTTTCTCCTGCAATCTTAACCATGTTCGTCGTCTAAAAACCTTCTGTTTTACTGGGTGAGAGTCACCGACTGGGTTGGGGTGAGACCTCGTCCCCAGGACCGACTCGCTGGGGGAAGGAGGAGGGGAGAGGATGGAAGAGGTCAGACCCAGGAAGGTGGAAGCTGGGTGAGGGTGTCCGAAGACATGTACAAAACACCCAGAGTCCTGAGGTTCATGGGGAGCAGTCAGAGCACCGGGGACTCCTGACAACTGGTGGAGGGTGGGATGTACTCCCCATGGATGGGTTCCGCAGTAAGGACGGGGAGCAGAACACAAAGGGGATGGAGGACCAGCTGTGAAGGCTCAGAAAGGAGCGGTTTCGGGGGGGTTAACCCCTGGGAGTGTGTGACAAGAAGGACGTGCAGAATGGGGTCCCCTGGGGACGCAGTGAGCACCAGGGGGAGGGCGTACTGCAAAGGGTGGTGCTGGAGAAGGGCTGCACACTAGGGGTTCTCCTGGAAACCGTGGGGAGCTGAGAACACATGGACTGTGAGTCCACAACAACTTGGGAGGAGCGGGTGATGGTTCTGTCTCCTTAAGAAGGACATTGTAACCCTGTGAAAAAGAGGGTTGAGTTTGGAAAGTTCACCAAAGAGAGTTAATCGGCAGTGGAGGAGGATGACTCTAAGGAACAGATTCCGACCCCAACTGGGGCATAGCAGGATCTGGGAGCAGTGGAGCGGGAGAGGTCAAGCTCCTGTCCATCGGGTCCCCATCGGGGGATCGGAGACGGACGGGATTGGAGTGAGTCTGAGAGAGCAAGAGGACGTGAGAGACAGAGAGCAGAAAGAGCTGCAGAAGCAGAGAGGATGAACGGCGGTGGGGGAGGGGAGGCTGGGGCCCCAGGGGTGAGTGGGGATAGTCCGGGGCCAGTCCAAACCTCGAACTAAATGCCCCTGGTTAAGGATGGGGGAGGTGGTGCCCACCTCACTGCTTTGAGCAGGCTGGAGATTTGAACTAGGGGGACCCTAAAAGCGGTGTCTAGCCCTTGGGGTCCCAAGCCAAGACCGTCCCAGATGGTTGGGGATGTGGACACCCCACTCCTGACCCCAACCTATATGTCGGTGTGGAGTTTCCGGGGCCACCCTCGGACCCCAGTGGGACGGAAGGTGATGGTCAATGGGGAGACATTCTGGGGTGGCTAAAGGGCATGGGCTGCATAAACCTTCCCACAGGCCGCACTACACCACCCCTGACCTAAGGGAGGGCGGAAACCGGAAGGGCCGGGTAACTCCTACCAAGGAATGGGAGAGATGCTGGGGCATCCATGGGAACGTTGGGGCTTCGAACTTCCCCAGGTCACCGCTAAAGTGACCGCTCAGTTCGATCTCGAAGGGGGAGAGATGTGACGAAGTGGGACTGTTCTTAATGTTTCTCTGAATAGTGTGGGGGTGCCCAGTTTCCCTAGGCAGTTCTTAAGTATCTAGGGGGTGGAGTAAGGGTGTATGATCATTGCAGAGCCCTAGAGGGCAGGTGTGTGAAGGGGTCTGGACACAAGAATGGCACACCCTGTTCCTGCAACTGATGGCCTGGGCCCTTCCCCCTGCAAGGTGAGAGCTGAAGGGTTGGAGAACAAAGGAATCAGGTGACCTCCTGGCGGGAAAGGAACAAAGCCCAGAGGAGGAGGGGCTGGAGGGGGTTTCAGTTGGGGGCTGGTGGGACATGGAGTGAAGTGCAGACGTGGTTGTTGGCTCACGCCCCCAAAATGGACCCAGCTGAGGGTCCGTTCTCTGCACCTGCAAGCTCTGTTTTAGACCATGTTCCTGTCGTCTAATAAACCTTCTGTTTTACTGGCTGGCTGAGAGTCACGTCTGACTGCGAAGTTGGGGTGCAGGACCCTCTGGCTTCCCCAGGAGCCCCGCCTGAGCGGACTCGCTGGGGGGAAGCGACGGAGGGGCAGAGGATGCTGAATGCCCGAGGTCAGACCCAGGAAGGTGGAAGCTGGGTGAGCTGTGTGTCCTGAAGACAGGCTGCTCACAGAAAGGCGACTGCCCCAGAGTCCTGACTGGCTTCATGGGGAGCAGTTCCAGAGCATCGCCCGGGGACTCCCTGACACCAGGGTCCAGGTTCCCTGCCCGGGGGGCCCAGCCGCTGAACAACAGCAGTGCAAGAAGCATGAGGGACTGCTGCCTTCTCTCCCAGGGTCCCTCTGGGGTTGGAGCCAAGGGCAGGGTTCTCCCAGCTCATCCATTCACAGACTGGCGTAGTGCCAGGCCATGAGCCACAGCTATGGGTGCCAGGAGCCTGCTGCAGCCATAGGCACTGGGCTTCCACGGCAGCCGCTGCATCCGCTGGCACCAGGAGCCACAGGTGCCAGGGGTGATGGGCTCTGGTGCCCACGCCAGCATAGCACGCGCTGATGCGCTTTGTTGGCGTTAGCGAGACCAGGTGGGTGAGGAATATCGGTTATCGGCCAACCCCTGGTGCTGAGTGAGAGGCTTTCACGCGTACCCAGAGCTCTTCTCCAGGTCTGTGCTGGGCTAGTGAAAGCTGGTACCGCCCTGTCCCCGGGCGATGCTCTGGAACTGCTCCCTGCCAGGCAGGACGCTGGGGGAGCCTCCTCTCTGCGAGCAGCCTGTCCCCAGGGCAAGAAGCTCACACAGCCCACGGCAGGAACACGAGTCCCTGGAGCCCCTTGTGAACACAAGGCCTATTAGCCATTAGTGGTGTGGGAGCCAGCAGGGGGTTGGGTCCTTTACTGGCTGGTCCAAGCCGCACAGGCCAGGCTCCCAGGGCGGCTGGTCAAACAGCAGCGGCTGTAAACAGCTCCCACCCCGAGGCGCCAGGCGAGAGATGCCGTTGCACTGTCATGCCCAGGGGTAACTCCAGGCACCCAGCACAGCGCCTGCGAGGCCAGCCCCAGAGCGAGACGTGGGCACCGCACACTGGCCAAAGGACACCACAGCCTGCGGACGGCACCAACCTGAGCTGGGGGCAGGCATGGGGGGGCATGGAGACATGCCAGTGAAGGGGGCCATGCATGTACCTGGAGGGACGGATGGACAGGCAGGCGGGTGCTGCACCTCTGCCATAGTGACCTGGGTACGCAGCAGGCCCCGGCACTGTGGTGGAAGCCCTCACAGATACCAGCTGTGACCAAGTGGGAATTGTTTGTAATATTTGGATGAAGCCTGTGCGTGCCTCAGTTTCCCCAACGTGCTGCAGGGCTCCCTAGTGAGTAGAAAGGGGGGTTCTCTGCAGCGGCTCAGAGCCACAGGTGTGACCGGCGCCCGCCCAGCTCTCTGGCCCTTCGGTCCCACAGGTGGAGCGTCTGAGAAGACAATGGCAATCCAGTGGCTAGGACTTTGCGCCCGAGCCCCGAGCCCCGACCCCAGCACCCGCCAGCCAGGCCATGCGGGGAGCTTGTGCCGGGGCCTGAGGTGAGGCCGGCCCGGAGGGGCTTTGCACCACCATTTCCCAGCCAGGCCCTGCAAGCCAGGACCCCGGGGCCAGGGCGGGGGGCAGGCAGAGCTCGAGGTGGTTATTCCCCCTCCCCAAGGTGGGTCTGTGCCCTTGGGGGGGCAATGCCCGGGCACCCCACGCTCATGCAGCCACTGGGCTCTGCCCCCGCTCCCAGCTGCCCTAGGGCAGCGCCCAGGAGGGGCCTCCCCGGGGTGCAGGGGCCCTGCCAGGCCGGGGCTCCCCGCCCCGCTGCTCCGACCCGCCGAGCCCCCCCGCGCCAGCGGTGCACGAGGCGGACCGGGCGCCAGCTGGCGGGGGGGGGGAGCTGCGCTCGGTCCGCGTCGTGCACCGCTGGCGCGGGGGGCCCGGGAGTCCTGCGCTCGGCGCCGGGATCCACCCCCCTTGAGTCCCCCCCAGCGCCGGGCTCCGCCCCCCCCTGGGCCCCCCCCAGAGCCAGGCTCCCCCCAGCGCCGGGATCCGTTCCCCCCGCCCCTGTTCCCAGCATCCGGGCCGCGCCGCGCCGCGCAGGCTCAGCCCCGGTTCTGCGCCTCGCTCCGGGCTCCGGGCGCCGAGAAGCGGCTTCAGCACCAGGGACAGAGCCCGCCGGGCCCGCGCCACGCCATGGCCAGCGAGGTGAGCGGGGGGCGCAGCCTGGGGGGCGGGGGGCGCAGGCCGGGCGGGGAGCGGGGGGCTGCAGGGGGCGGGGGCGCAGCCTGGGGGGCGGGGGGCGCAGGCCGGGCGGGGAGCGGGGGGCTGCAGGAGGGCGGGGGGCGCAGCCGGGGGGGCCGGGGGCGCAGGTCGGGCGGGGAGCGGGGGGCTGCAGGGGGGCGGGGGGCGCAGCCTGGGGGGCGGGGGGCGCAGGCCGGGCGGGGAGCGGGGGGCTGCAGGAGGGCGGGGGCCGCAGCCGGGGGGGGCGGGGAGCGGGGGGCGCAGCTTGGGGGGCGGGGGGCGCAGGCCGGGCGGGGAGCGGGGAGCGCAGGCCGGGCGAGGTCCCCGGGCTCCGGACCGGGGGCGGGGGGCTGCCGACACGGGACATCCGGCCGGCTTGTCCCTGAGCAAACCTGCATCTTGTCCCAGGGGCTGCCCGGAGCTGGGGGGGTTCCGGGGGCTGCCCGGAGCTGGGGGGGTCCCGGGGGCTGCCCGGAGCTGGGGGGGTCCGGGGGCTGCCCGGAGCTGGGGGGGTCCCGGGGGCTGCCCGGAGCTGGGGGGGTCCGGGGCTGCCCGGAGCTGGGGGGGTCCGGGGGCTGCCCGGAGCTGGGGGGGTCCCGGGGGCTGCCCGGAGCTGGTCCTCGTGTGCGCTGTGGCAAAGTGCCTGTTTCCTTGCACTCCCACAGCGGAGCCGGCCGCCCATTGCCCAGCCCAGCTGGTGCTGCCTTCGCGACACCCTGCGACCTGTGCAGCACCTGCCCCGCCCAATGGGCTGGAGCCACTTGGGGGCACGAGGGAGATGGGGTCAGCACAGCCCCCCATGGGCTGCTCTCTTTGGCCCCCACTCCCTCCCTTCCCAATTCCGGCTGTTGTCCTGCACCCATCCCTGGGGCGTCCCGGCGCCTTCCACAGAGAATCCACAGCAAGAGCCAAATCCCAGTGGGCTCCCTGCCTCTCTGGGTCACAGCTCAGCTGGGGAGGGGGAGTCAGCTGGGTCTGGTGGGTAGAGGGGGGGACAGTCAGTGGAGGGGATGTGGGGCAGTGTCTGGGCTGGGGGCACGAGGGGCAGTATTGGGGGCAGGGGCAGTATGAGGATAGAGGGGCCTGAGTCAAGGCCGGTGCAGCGGGGGGGGAGGGGTGGTGGGGGGTCAAGGGGGGAGTGGGTGGGGGGGAGGGGGAGGGGTGAGTCAAGGGGTGCAGCGGGGGGGGAGGGGTGAGGGGGGAGTCAAGGCGGGGAGGGGGGGGGGGGGGGGTGAGAGGGGCCTGAGTCAAGGCCGGGGCAGTGGGGTGGGGGGGCAGGGGTGAGAGGGGCCTGAGTCAAGACGGGGCAGCGGGGTGGGGGGAGGGGTGAGAGGGGCCTGAGTCAAGGCCGGGGCAGCGGGGTGTGGGGGGCAGGGGTGAGAGGGGCCTGAATCAAGGCCGGGGCAGCGGGGTGGGGGGGCAGGGGTGAGAGGGGCCTGAGTCAAGGCCGGGGCAGTGGGGTGTGGGGGGCAGGGGTGAGAGGGGCCTGAGTCAAGGCCGGGGCAGCGGGGTGCGGGGGCAGGGGTGAGAGGGGCCTGAGTCAAGGCTGGGGCAGCGGGGTGGGGGGGGCAGGGGTGAGAGGGGCCTGAGTCAAGGCTGGGGCAGCGGGGTGGGGGGGGCAGGGGTGAGAGGGGCCTGAGTCAAGGCCGGGGCAGTGGGGTGTGGGGGGCAGGGGTGAGAGGGGCCTGAGTCAAGGCTGGGGCAGCAGGGTGGGGGTGGCAGGGGTGAGAGGGGCATTCTTATGCAGGTGTCACCGCTGGGTGCTATGCTCCAGCTTTGGCCCAGTCTCTGGGAGGAGCCCGTCAGTGGGCCGGACCCTGAGGGGTCTCCCTCTTCCTCCAGGGTCAGCCCTGAGGCTTCACCACCTCCTTTGGCTGGACCTCCGGGGCTCCAGCCCCCCGTTCCCCACCGTGAGCTCTGCCCAGCGAGTCCCGCCGAGCCAGGCCCTGGGGGGACACTTGTCCGCTCTACAGGGATTAATGCGCCGCACGCAGCATCTGCAGTGACGCTCGCCCAGCGCTGGCAGAATGGGCGGGTTTATTCGATGCTTGGCCCCAGGGAGCCCAGAGCACGGGGAGCAGCGTCTGGTGCAGCCAGCTCAATCCCCCAGCCGAGCTGTGTGAGCTCCAGTCCCAGGCGCTGTCTCTGCGGGCCTTCGCCAGGCCCAGCAGAGAGCCCCAGCCTCTCCCAGAGCCCCCCATTAGTCCCTGCTGCCCCCCTCCGGACAAGGCCACGCTGAGGGCACAGGATTCTCACTCCAGGGTCTCTGGGCTCCTGGGTGCTGGCGTTCTGCCCACCGGGGTTTCCAAGGTCTGCTCACATTTTCACTTGTGGGTCGGCCACGACCAGGCCATTCAGTGACCCGCTGTCTGCTCGCATCAACAGCTGTTGTCTGCCCTGGGAGCAAACGGAGCCCTTTCCCCCATGGGGAGCCATGCAAAGCATAGAGGGAAACTGAGGCACGTAGGGATATTAAATATTACAGAAAACTCCCACTTTATCATAGATGGGCTGTCCTTGCCCCTGGCTTGCAGAGTGAGTGTTTCCCCCTTGCTGGTCCCAGGCCTGGCCATGGAGCTGGGGGGTCTCTTCCAGGAGAGGGAGCAGCATCCAGGCTGAGGCCAGCTCCTTCCCCCAATGCTGACCCCTTAGCCAGGAGATAGGAGCACCTCAAAGACACCCTGCAAGATCCAGCCCCCTCCCCAAGCTGGGGCTAGGGCTGTGTCTGCAAGGGGCAGTAGAGGATGGAGGGGCGCTGGGGGGGGGCACCGAGCCCCTGAGTGCTGCTCGCTCCCCGTACAGTGGGGGTGGGAGTCTGGCTGCAGGGGCACCAGCTGGTAGGGAGGAGTGGTCTCTGCTCACTCTGGGCTGGAGGAAAGGCTTGTGCACCAGAAACAGGGGGAAGAAGCCACCCCAGCTAAGTGCTCTGGGAAAGCAAGGAGCCCTTCCCAAGTGCCAAGGCCGGCCCATGGGCCATGGTGGGGCACAGGGATGGTTTGTTGACACAGAGGACGTGCATTGGTCAAAGAGCCACAGGCCCAGTGCCATAGCCCCAGCTTTGGAAGAGTCTCTGGGAGCCCGTCAGTGGACCAGGCCCCTGGGGGTCCCACTCTTCCTTCCCCCAGGGTGGGCCACAAGGCTTCCCTGTCTCCTTCGGCTGGACGCTGTGCCTTTGGGCCTCCTGCTGCACCCCGTGAGCTCCATGCAGCGAGTTCAGCTGGGACAGACCCTGAGGGACACTCGTCCAGGCTTTGGGAGCCAGGCAGCTCCCTGCGCCAGCGGCTGCAGGGACACATGGGGTTTATTAGTGGCCTGGACACAGCACAGGAAGTCCTTGGTTAGCCCAGAGAAAAGGAAGTGACAGCCTAGTCCATCCTGCTCAGCACAGAGCCCAACCTCCGTCCCTCTGACCTCTCTTTGTCCCAGGTCAGATGTCCCGACTGCTTCCCATAGCCACCACTTAACTCCCACCTCACCCCCAGGCCTTTGTTCCCCAGCTGGGGGATGCAGTGCAGCCCCCCCCGGAGAGGCGGGAAGTCCATGTCTCTGGGAACTTGCTTGCTAGGGGTTTGTGTCCAGATGATTGGATTTGACAGTCTTCTCAAGAGCTCCTGATCTTGGACCTAAGTCCCCAGAGAGCTGGACACCAGCCACACCTGTGTCTCTGAGCCACTGCAGAATGCAAACAACCCTCTCTACCCCGCCGGGTAGCCCTGCAGCATACAGGGAAACTGAGGCACACAGAGCCATCAGAAAATGATTACAGAACATTCTCATTTTGTCACCAAGAGGTATGGGGGGGGGAATCGCGGTGTGTGTGTGTGTGACAGCACCCACGGATTCACACTCTACACACCAGTGTAGCAATCTTTGTACAAAATGTGCCTCGTGAGGGGTCATTTGAAAACGAATAACTCACTGGTCAGGAACAGCTTGGGGAAAGGTTGCAGCCCCATTACCTGCCCCGTCAGGACTCTGCCCTGGCTTGGAACATTGCCAGCACACGTGCAAACCTAGGTGTTGGACGCGTCTGTCCTCAGCACAGGCCTGTGGGGTCCCGCCGGCCGCGGTAACCAGGGCCCACGCGACAGCAGGGGCGGAGACGGCAGGAAACAGAACAAGCTGCATTTGAGCAGACACAAGGGGGGGGAAGGAGCAGGGAGTGGCTGTGTTGCCGCCCTCCCCGTTGGGCTAACTGTTGCTCTGAGGGGTAACCGTCAGCAGATGCCGCTTCAAAGGCTCCCTGGCCTATGAAAGTGAGGGGCAGAGAACGCCAAGTTCCCGCCTTCACCAGGAAGACAAAGGCCTGGCACCTTTGGGCCGCAGGGCGCAGTCCTGCCCCAGGAGCGGGTCAGTCCCCCCCACGGGAAGCCAGGGGGACCGGCCTGGCCCTTGCTAGACTAAGTGGTAGCCTTTAGCTGTGAGTTTTCCGCGTCGTCGGCTGGTCACCACCTCTCGAGTAGCGTCACTGTTAATCTAACCCCGCAGTGCTGCGTGCAAAGGGCGCTGCTTGGGGACGCCCACTAGTGCACCATGCTGGGGAACAGTGACTCTGTGCGGGCGCAGGGAACCTTGAGTGCTGGACTGGCCAGGGGTGGGCTGCTGTGTGTGCGGAGGGGAGTATGGGGGGGTGGGGGATGGGATGGGGTGTGTGCAGAGTGGGTACAGGGGGTGGGGGATGGGATGGGGTGTGTGCGGAGGGGATACGGGGGTGGGATGGGGTGTGTGCAGAGGGGGTACAGGGGGTGGGGGATGGGATGGGGTGTGTGCAGAGGGGATACGGGGGGTGGGATGGGGTGTGTGCGGAGGGGGTACGGGGGTGGGGGATGGGATGGGGTGTGTGCAGAGGGGATACAGGGGGTGGGCTGCGGTGTGTGCAGAGTGGGTACAGGGGGTGGGGGATGGGATGGGGTGTGTGCAGAGGGGGTACAGGGGTGGGGGATGGGATGGGGTGTGTGCACAGGAGGTACAGGGGGTGGGATGGGGTGTGTGCAGAGGGGATACGGGGGTGGGATGGGGTGTGTGCAGAGGGGGTACAGGGGGGGGGGGATGGGATGGGGTGTGTGCAGAGGGGATACGGGGGGTGGGCTGCGGTGTGTGCAGAGGGGGTACAGGAGGTGGGGGATGGGATCGGGTGTGTGCAGAGGGGGTACAGGGCATGGGGGATGGGATGGGGTGTGTGCAGAGGGGGTATTGGGGGGTGGGCTGCGGTGTGTGTGTGGAGGGGGTACAGGGGGTGGGGGATGGGATGGGGTGTGTGCAGAGGGGGTACAGGGGGTGGGATGGGGGTGTGTGTGGAGGGGGTACAGGGGGTGGGGGATGGGACGGCGTGTGTGCAGAGGGGATACGGGGGGTGGGATGGGGTGTGTGCAGAGTGGGTACAGGGGGTGGGGGATGGGATGGGGTGTGTGCAGAGGGGGTACGGGGGGTGGGCTGCGGTGTGTGTGTGGAGGGGGTACAGGGGGTGGGGGATGGGACGGCGTGTGTGCAGAGGGGATACGGGGGGTGGGGGATGGGATGTGTGATGAAGTGGGACTGTTCTTAATGTTTCCTCTGAATAGTGTGGGGGTGCCTCAGTTTCCCCTAGGCAGTTCTTAAGTATCTAGGGGGTGGGGTAAGGGTGTATGATCATTGCAGAGCCTAGAGGGCAGGTGTGTGCAGGAGTCTGGACACAGACAATGGCCGACACCCTGTTTCCTGGCAACTGATGGCCTGGGCCCTTCCCCCCCTGCAAGGTGAGAGCTAAAGGGTTGGAGAACAAAGGAATCAGGTGACCACCTGGACCGGGAAAGGGACAAAGCCCAGAGGAGGAGGGGCTGGAGGGGGTTTTCAGTTTGGGGCTGGCTGGGACATGGAGTGAAGTGCAGACGTGGTTGTCTGGCTCACTGCCCCCCCAGAATGGACCCAGCTGAGGGGTCCCGTTCTCTGCACCTGCAAGCTCTGTTTTAGACCATGTTCCTGTCGTCTAATAAACCTCCTGTTTTACTGGCTGGCTGAGAGTCACGTCTGACTGCGAAGTTGGGGTGCAGGACCCTCTGGCTTCCCCAGGCTTTGTCCCTTTCCCGGGCCAGGTGGTCACCTGATTCCTTTGTTCTCCAACCCTTCAGCTCTCACCTTGCAGGGGGGGGAAGGGCCCAGGCCATCAGTTGCCAGGAAACAGGGTGTCGGCCATTCTCTGTGTCCAGACCCCTTCACACACCTGCCCTCTAGGGCTCTGCAATGATCATACACCCTTACTCCACCCCCTAGATACTTAAGAACTGCCTAGGGGAAACTGAGGCACCCCCACACTATTCAGAGGAAACATTAAGAACAGTCCCACTTCGTCACATCTCTCCCCCCTTCGAGATCGAACTGAGCGGGGTCACTTTAGCCGGTGACCTGGGGAAGTTCGAAGCCACCAACGTTCCCATGGATGCCCCAGCATCTCTCCCATTCCTTGGTAGGAGTTACACCAGGCCCTTCCAGTTTCACGCCCTCCCTTAGATCAGGGGTGGTCGATAGCACTCGCAGGCCGCATGTGGGAAGGTTTATGCAGCCCATGCCCTTTGGCCACCCCAAGAATGTCTCCCCATTGACCATCACCTTCTGCTCCCACTGGGGGTCCGAAGGGCCTGGCCCCAGGAAACTCCACACAGACATATAGGTTGGGGTCAGGAGTGGGAGCCTGTCCACCTCCCCACCCATCTGGCTGACGGAGTCTATGGCCTTGGGACCCAGCAAGGGAGCTAGACACCGGGGCTTTTCCGCAGGGTCCCCTTGGTTCAAATCGCCAGCCTGCTCAAAGGCAGTGAGGTGGGCATCCACACACCCCCCCTCCTTAACCAGGGGCAGCAATTTAGTCTCGAGGTTCCCTGCGGAACTGGCCCCCCGGGATCTATCCCCACTCACCCCGGGGAGGTCCCCTAGGCCTCTCCGCTCCCCCACCGCCAGTTCATGCTGCTGCTGCTTCTGCAGCTCTTTCTCGGGTTCTCGCTGTCTCCCAGGGTCCTCTTGCTCTCTCAGACTCAGCTCCAATCCCGTCTGTCTCGATCCCCCGATGGGGAACCCGATCGTGAAAACCCCGTCTGGTCGGGGACAGGAGTCTTGGCGATGCCTGGCTCCCGCTCCAGCTGCTCCCAGATCCTGCTATAGCCCCAGTTGGGGTCAGGAATCTGTTCCTTAGAGCGGTCATCCTCCTCCAGCTGCACGATTAACTCTGCTTTGGTGAACTTTCCAACGCTCAACCCTCTCTTTTGCACAGGGTTACAAATGTCCTTCTTAAGGAGACGGGGACAGGCCATCACTCCGCTCCTCCCAAGTTGTTGTGGACTCACAGGCCTGTGTGCTCTCAGCTCCCCACGGTTTCCAGGGAGAACCCCTAGTGTGCCAGCCCTTCTCGAGGTCACCACCTCTTTGCCAGGGTCGAGCTGCAGACTCCTCGCCCCTTGGACTGCTCACTGCAGTCCCCAGGGGAACCCTGTTACTGCACAGTCCTTCTCGCTGGTCACACACTCCCAGGGGTTAACCGCCCCCCCGAAACCGCTCCTCTCTGAGCCTTCAGCAGGCCTGGTCCTCGGCAATCCCCCTTCCTGTTACTGCTCCCCAGTCACTTACTGCAGGAAGCGCCATCCACGGGGTGCAGTACATCCCACCGCTGCCACCAGTTGTCACGGAGTCCCTGGGCGATGCTCTGGAACTGCTCCCCATGAAGCCAGTCAGGACTCTGGGGCAGTCGCCTTTCTGTGAGCAGCCTGTCTTCAGGACACGCAGCTCACCCGGCTTCCCCCTTCCTGGGTCTGACCTCGGAGCATTCAGCATCCTCTGCCTCTCCGTGCGCTTCCCACAGCGAGTCCGCTCAGGCGGGGCTCCTGGGGAAGCCAGAGGGTCCTGCACCCCAACTTCGCAGTCAGACGTGACTCTCAGCCAGCCAGTAAAACAGAAGGTTTATTACACGACAGGAACATGGTCTAAAACAGAGCTTGCAGGTGCAGAGAACAGGACCCCTCAGCTGGGTCCATTTTGGGGGGCAGTGAGCCAGAGAACCACTTCTGCACTTCACTCCATGTCCCAGCCAGCCCCAAACTGAAAACCCCCTCCAGCCCCTCCTCCTCTGGGCTTTGTTCCTTTCCCCGGGCCAGGTGGTCACCTGATTCCTTTGTTCTCCAACCCTTCAGCTCTCACCTTGCAGGGGGGAAGGGCCAGGCCATCAGTTGCCAGGAAACAGGGTGTCGGCCATTCTCTGTGTCCAGACCCCTGCACACACCTGCCCTCTAGGCTCTGCAATGATCATACACCCTTACCCCACCCCCTAGATACTTAAGAACTGCCTAGGGGAAACTGAGGCACCCCCACACTATTCAGAGGAAACATTAAGAACAGTCCCACTTCGTCACAGGGGTACAGGGGGTGGGATGGGGTGTGTGCAGAAGGGGTACGGGGGGTGGGCTGCGGTGTGTGCAGAGTGGGTACAGGGGGTGGGGGATGGGATGGGGTGTGTGCAGAGGGGGTACGGGGGTGGGGGATGAGATGGTGTGTGTGCAGGGTGGGTACGGGGGTGGGATGGGGTGTGTGCAGAGTGGGTACAGGGGTGGGGGATGGGATGGGGTGTGTGCAGAGGGGGTACGGGGGGGTGGGGGATGGGTTGGGGTGTGTGCAGACGGGGTACGGGGGTGGGGGATGGGATGGGGTGTGTGCAGAGGGGGTACGGGGGGTGGGCTGCGGTGTGTGCAGAGTGGGTACAGGGGGTGGGGGATGGGATGGGGTGTGTGCAGAGAGGGTATTGGGGGTGGGCTGCGGTGTGTGTGTGGAAGGGGTACAGGGGGTGGGGGGTGGGATGGGGTGTGTGCGGAGGGGGTACAGGGGGTGGGATGGGGGTGTGTGTGGAGGGGGTACAGGGGGTGGGGGATGGGACGGCGTGTGTGCAGAGGGGATACGGGGGGTGGGATGGGGTGTGTGCAGAATGGGTACAGGGGGTGGGGGATGGGATGGGGTGTGTGCAGAGGGGGTACGGGGGGTGGGCTGCGGTGTGTGTGTGGAGGGGGTACGGGGGGTGGGGGATGGGATGGGGTGTGTGCAGAGGGGGTACAGGGGGTGGGCTGCAGTGCGTGTGTGGAGGGGGTACAGGGGTGGGGGATGGGACGGCGTGTGTCAGAGGGGATACGGGGATGGGATGGGGTGTGTGCACAGGGGGTATGGGGGGTGGGGGATGGGATGGGGTGTGTGCAGAGGTGGTACGGGGGTGGGCTGCGGTGTGTGTGTGGAGGGGGTACAGGGGGTGGGGGATGGGACGGCATGTGTGCACAGGGGGTACAGGGGGTGGGGGATGGGGTGTGTGCAGAGGGGGTACAGGGGGTGGGGGATGGGATGGGGTGTGTGCAGAGGGGGTACGGGGGGTGGGATGGGGTGTGTGCAGAGGGGGTACAGGGGGTGGGGGATGGGATGGGGTGTGTGCAGAGGGGGTACAGGGGGGGTGGGATGGGGTGTGTGCAGAGGGGGTACCTGGGGTGGGGGATGGGATGGGGTGTGTGCAGAGGGGGTACGGGGGGTGGGATGGGGTGTGTGCAGAGGGGGTACAGGGGGTGGGGGATGGGATGGGGTGTGTGCACAGGGGGTACAGGGGGTGGGGGATGGGATGGTGTATGTCACCCAGTGTTTGCCCCCCAGCCCGGGGCTGCAGTCCTGAGCTCTGCTCTGTGTCAGGACCCTCCTTCCCTTCCCCAGAGTCCTGCGGCAGCCCCCTCGCCCCGTCTCTGCCCCTGGGTAACCTGCCGCGCCCCTGTCCCCCCAGGCCCATGACCTGCAGGAGCTGCGGCGAAGCGCCTCGCTGGCCACCAAGGTCTTTGTGCAGCGGGACTACAGCGACGGGACCCTCTGCCAATTCCAGACCAAGTTCCCCCTGGAGCTGGACAGCCGGGTAGGAAGCACGGTGCCCTGCTGTGCTGGCAGGTGATGGGGGCTGGGGGGGCAGAGCAGGGCCTGGCAGAGCCTTGGGGCAAAGGCCCCTGTGACTGGAGTCCCGGGGGGGCCCTGCTGAGATGGCTCAGTTCGGGCAAACTGCACAGGCTGGGGCAGACAATCCCCCAAACTGATGGCTATTCTGCTACTTCGATGCACCAAGCCAGGGACAAAACAGCGGCTGCAACACCTCACTGGCTACCCGGAAGCCAACACACAGCTCCCTTCCAGCGACTCAGCCTTGGGCTCCCACCGCACCCCACACCCAACATCACGAGGGTTCCCGAAAATCTTGTTCATCCTATAAACAGTTCTACCAGTCCCAGAGGAGCAGACACATCACCCACCAGGGTCATGAGCGTCTTAGACCCTGCCAAATGCACGCTGGCGGCCACCGCTTATTAACCAGACGAAAAGGTGTTACAAGAAAAGCGAGGGAGAGTCCTGGTTAAAGGAGCATTAAACATGCAGGCATGAGTCATAGGCCAATCTCAGGGCAATCCAGAATGGACCTGGGGCCCCTGACCAAGCTTAGGCAGATAAAGATAACAAGACCAGGGCCCAAGAGTTCTCTCTAAAGGTCTCTGGCAGGCTAAGACACCTCCTGGCTCCAGGGCTCCCTTGTATGAAGAGTAGTAGATCGGAAGCAGAATTACCTGGTTCCTGCGTACACACAGGTAATGAGAAAAGGAGGACGTGGCACCTTAGAGACTAACCAATTTGTTTGAGCATGAGCTTTCGTGAGCTACAGCTCACTTCATCGGATGCATACTGTGGAAAGTGTAGAAGATCTTTTTATACACACAAAGCATGAAAAAATACCTCCCCCCCACCTCACTCTCCTGCTGGTAATAGCTTATCTAAAGTGACCACTCTCCTTACAATGTGTATGATAATCAAGGTGGGCCATTTCCAGCACAAATCCAGGGTTTAACAAGAACGTCTTGGGGGAGGCGGGGGGTAGGAAAAAACAAGGGGAAATAGGTTACCTTGCATAATGACTTAGCCACTCCCAGTCTCTATTCAAGCCTAAGTTAATTGTATCCAATTTGCAAGTGAATTCCAATTCAGCAGTCTCTCGCTGGAGTCTGGATTTGAAGTTTTTTTGTTTTAATATCGCAACTTTCATGTCTGTAATCGCATGACCAGAGAGATTGAAGTGTTCTCCGACTGGTTTATGAATGTTATAATTCTTGACATCTGATTTATGTCCATTTATTCTTTTACGTAGAGACTGTCCAGTTTGACCAATGTACATGGCAGAGGGGCATTGCTGGCACATGATGGCATATATCACATTGGTGGATGTGCAGGTGAACGAGCCTCTGATAGTGTGGCTGATGTTATTAGGCCCTGTGATGGTGTCCCCTGAATAGATATGTGGGCACAGTTGGCAACGGGCTTTGTTGCAAGGATAAGTTCCTGGGTTAGTGGTTCTGTTGTGTGGTATGTGGTTGCTGGTGAGTATTTGCTTCAGGTTGGGGGGCTGTCTGTAGGCAAGGACTGGCCTGTCTCCCAAGATTTGTGAGAGTGTTGGGTCATCCTTCAGGATAGGTTGTAGATCCTTGATGATGCGTTGGAGGGGTTTTAGTTGGGGGCTGAAGGTGACCGCTAGTGGCGTTCTGTTATTTTCTTTGTTAGGCCTGTCCTGTAGTAGGTGACTTCTGGGAACTCTTCTGGCTCTGTCAATCTGTTTCTTCACTTCCGCAGGTGGGTATTGTAGTTGTAAGAAAGCTTGACAGAGATCTTGTAGGTGTTTGTCTCTGTCTGAGGGGTTGGAGCAAATGCGGTTGTATCGCAGAGCTTGGCTGTAGACGATGGATCGTGTGGTGTGGTCAGGGTGAAAGCTGGAGGCATGCAGGTAGGAATAGCGGTCAGTAGGTTTCCGGTATAGGGTGGTGTTTATGTGGCCATTGTTTATTAGCACTGTAGTGTCCAGGAAGTGGATCTCTTGTGTGGACTGGACCAGGCTGAGGTTGGTGGTGGGATGGAAATTGTTGAAATCGTGGTGGAATTCCTCAAGGGCTTCTTTTCCATGGGTCCAGATGATGAAGATGTCATCAATGTAGCGCAAGTAGAGTAGGGGCGTTAGGGGACGAGAGCTGAGGAAGCGTTGTTCTAAGTCAGCCATAAAAATGTTGGCATACTGTGGGGCCATGCAGTGCCGCTGATCTGAAGGTATACATTGTCCCCAAATGTAAAATAGTTATGGGTAAGGACAAAGTCACAAAGTTCAGCCACCAGGTTAGCCGTGACATTATCGGGGATAGTGTTCTTGACGGTTGTAGTCCATCTTTGTGTGGAATGTTGGTGTAGAGGGCTTCTACATCCATAGTGGCCAGGATGGTGTTTTCAGGAAGATCACCGATGGATTGTAGTTTCCTCAGGAAGTCAGTGGTGTCTCGAAGATAGCTGGGAGTGCTGGTTGCGTAGGGCCTGAGGAGGGAGTCTACATAGCCAGACAATCCTGCTGTCAGGGTGCCAATGCCTGAGATGATGGGGCGCCCAGGATTTCCAGGTTTATGGATCTTGGGTAGCAGATAGAATATGCCAGGTCGGGGTTCCAGGGGTGTGTCTGTGCGGATTTGATCTTGTGCTTTTTCAGGGAGTTTCTTGAGCAAATGCTGTTGTTGCTTTTGGTAACCCTCAGTGGGATCAGAGGGTAATGGCTTGTAGAAAGTGGTGTTGGAGAGCTGCTGAGCAGCCTCTTGTTCATATTCCGACCTATTCATGATGACAACAGCACCTCCTTTGTCAGCCTTTTTGATTATGATGTCAGAGTTGTTTCTGTGGCAGCCTACAGACAGCCCCCCAACCTGAAGCAAATACTCACCAGCAACCACACACCACACAACAGAACCACTAACCCAGGAACCTATCCTTGCAACAAAGCCCATTGCCAACTGTGCCCACATATCTATTCAGGGGACACCATCACAGGGCCTAATAACATCAGCCACACTATCAGAGGCTCGTTCACCTGCACATCTACCAATGTGATCTACGCCATCATGAGCCAGCAATGCCCCTCTGCCATGTACATTGGTCAAACTGGGCAGTCTCTACGTAAAAGAATAAATGGACATAAATCAGATGTCAAGAATTATAACATTCATAAACCAGTCGGAGAACACTTCAATCTCCCTGGTCACGCGATTACAGACATGAAAGTTGCGATATTACAACAAAAAAACTTCAAATCCAGACTCCAGCGAGAGACTGCTGAATTGGAATTCATTTGCAAATTGGATACAATTAACTTAGGCTTGAATAGAGACTGGGAGTGGCTAAGTTATTATGCAAGGTAACCTATTTTCCCTTGTTTTTTTCCCCCCCCCCCCCCCAGACATTCTTGTTAAACTCTGGATTTGCGCTGGAAATGGCTCACCTTGATTATCATACACATTGTAAGGAGAGTGGTCACTTTAGATAAGCTATTACCAGCTGGAGAATGGGTTTGTTTGTGTGTGTGTGGGGGGGGGAGTGAGAAAACCTGGATTTGTGCTGGAAATGGTCCACCTTCATTATCATACACATTAGATAAGCTGTTACCAGCAGGAGAGTGGGGTGGGGGGGAGGTATTTTTTCATGCTTTGTGTGTATAAAAAGATCTTCTACACTTTCCACAGTATGCATCCGATGAAGTGAGCTGTAGCTCACGAAAGCTCATGCTCAAATAAATTGGTTAGTCTCTAAGGTGCCACAAGTCCTCCTTTTCTTTGTGCGAATACAGACTAACAGGGCTGTTCCTCTGACACAGGTAATGAGTTGCATTGCTTAGCAGAAGGCGAGTGACCATTCCAGCAGTTCAGAGACAGTTGACTACAAACTTCCAAGCGAAATACAGCCAGTGACATTATTCCATTCAGGGTTGATCTAAATGTTACTGTCCCCGTTTGACCTCTGACTCAATAGCTCAGTGACTGACAGGAGCCCCCCGTTTACATGGCTGACATCAAGCAAGGCATAAGGAAACACCCCCATAGCACCCACCCCCAATCCTGCAACAATGCAGGCTGCATTTCACAGCTCCAGTCTGCGTCCCAGGCTTTGTTAGTTGTTATCCGGAATGGCCCCTTTCACCACGGACATACTTCTTTGAGAGGCCTTTAAAGATTGGATTTGAGTCATTTAGCCTGCTTGCTGCTTCACCCTTTCTGGCCCTGCGTCACAGCCTGTGATGAAGTGAGACTGTTCTTAAAGTTTCCTCTCGCGGGCTGGGCCTGGGGTCACAGCCCCGCTGAGCCCTGGCCCTGGTCGCTCCCTCCCTGCCCTGGGATCACTTCCCAGCAGCGCCTCTGGACCAGGCAAACCTGGTTGGCAGCCGACCTGCCCTGCCTGTGTGTCCCCTGCCCCCAGCTGGGGTCTCAGCGCCCCCCCGTGCTCAGCGCTGCCCTTGCTGTCCCAGTGGGGGTAGGCAGCGAGCTCCCTGCTTTCCTCACTGCATCAGAGCCAGCCTGAGCCCCTCTCCGGTGGGCAAGGGGGCAGGGAGCATCTCTCTGTCCCACCCAGCCCCAGGGGACTGGTTACAGGCAGGCAGGTAGCCTGAGCCTAGCCGCTCCTCCCCCTGCCAGCCAGGTCATCTGCATTGTCCAGAGGCGCTGCTGGGAAGTGAGTCCAGGGCAGGGAGGGAGCGACCAGGGCCAGGGCTCAGTGGGGCTGTGACCCCAGGCCCAGCCAGCGAGAGGAAACATTAAGAACAGCCCCACTTCGTCACACAGCCCCGCCCCCAGCTCCAGTTATTCCTGGTGTGGGCCTGGGGCCCGGAGGCTGTGTGGACTTGCGATCCCTGGGCAGGGCCGGCCAGTGGCTCTCTGGGAAGGGTCTCCCCCCAGCGAGCACAGATGCCAGTGTAGCCCTCAGATGGCGCCTGTCATGAACCCCCAGGGTTGGTGCTCAGGAACAGCCCACAAAGGCCCCCTTCAGGGAGCCAGATCCTCCCAGGGGCTCGCTCTGTCACTAGGGGAAGCCCCTCGGCTTCACTGCCCCCTTGGACTGAGCCTTCAGCACCCCTGGGTCATGCTGTGAGCTCCCTCCAGCGCGGCCACCTGAGAGAGACTTGGACCCCCAAGGGGCGCAATGCCCCCCACCTCCAGCCCCTGCAGGGCCGCAGCCGGCGTGGTTACAGCAGGAGGGTTATGAGGGGCGTGGAACAGAGCTAGGCAGGCCTTGGGTAGCACCGAGAGCAGGAAGTTACAGCCTGGCCCGTTCGGGTTCCCCAGAGCCCCAGCCAAGCAGTGTCCGCCCTCAGCTCCCGCTCTGTGTTCAAATTCCTGGCCAGCCCCAGTTGTACTCTTCTCAGCCCTTTGTCCAGCTGGTCACACCCGGCTGGCTTCCTGGTTAGTGGGGGCTCCAGGGTCGTTAGCAGCCAGCACGTAGCAAATGTCCCAGGGGTTGGGTTGGCCATTGTCTTCATGGGCCCCCTAGTGACCTGGCCCCCAAACATGAGCCAGCCAGGAGCCATCCCCACCTTTGTAGTAACCGCCTTTCCCCACCACCTAGCTATCCATGCAGCACATAGGGGAAACTGAGGCACACACCGCATTCATACAAAATAATACAGAAAATTCCCACTTTGGCACATCCCCCGACGAGAGCTGCACCCACAGCCATGGGGTATGGGCTGGTGGCAGCTGCCCAGGCTCATGCTGGGCCAGGTCCTGGATGTGCCCAAATGTCTGTGTACATATGCCCTGGATCTCTGTGTGTGTGCAAACTCGTGGGGGTGGGGAGGTACCCGCCCAGGTGTCTGTGTGCATGTGTATGGGGGGCTTTGTCCTCCTGAGGGGCTCCCTATGGGGCACCGTGCTGGCTGTTCCCTGGGTCCCTGCAGAGTGCCTACTAGCTGAGCTGGTCTGTCTGTGGTCGGGGGGACAGGTGGGGTCCTTCAGGGTCAGCTCACTGGGATGCTCACAATGCCCCAGCCGCTGCTGCAGGGCATGGGCTGAGTGTGGGCAGGGGCTCCCAGTGCCGGCTGGCGGGGCCCCGTGTGACCCCCAACGCCCTCACCCGGGTTTCTCTGCCCCAGCTCGAGCGGCAGCTCTTTGAGGAGACGGTGAAGACCCTCAATGGCTTCTACGCCGAGGCCGAGAAGATCGGGGGCAGCTCCTACCTGGAGGGGTGCCTGGCCTGTGCCACGGCCTACTTCATCTTCCTCTGCATGGAGACCCACTACGAGAAGGTACGGCTGGCACCTGGGGCCTCCATCTGCCACTGGGTCAGCCCGGTGAAATGCAGGGACAATTGCAGGCCGCAGCAGTGCCCTCCCCCCACCCCCCAGGCCTGGGCTCCCCTGGGTCCCGTTCCACAGGGGGCAATGGCCTTATTCTCTGTGGTGACCCCCTCGCTCCTCCCTGGCAGGGTCCCCAGGCAGCTCGGAAGGGAAATTCTCCCCGGTACCCTGCTGTGCCAGCCAGCCGGAGCCTCCCCAGGCATTAACCCCCGAGAGAGAGTGGACCCCTGAGAGGGGCTGTCGCACTGAAGGGGGCTCCCCCCACGGGGCCAAGAGTGGGCACGACCTGTGAGTCTGTACACGTGGGAACACTTTTAATGGTGGTGCTGAAAGGCAGCCCCCTTACCCCTGTCCGTGCCCCCTTCAGAGCTGGGGCCAGGAGCAGGGTTGTGTCTCTGGGTGGGGGACCCAGACAGGAGTGAGGGGGCTGAGGCTGGGGCCACAGCTGGGGCTGGGCGCAGGACCAGTAGTGGAGCTGCTTGTGCGGGGCTGGGAGCCGGCACCCCGGGTGCCGGGTGTCACGGAGTCCCTGGGCGATGCTCTGGAGCTGCTCCCCATGAAGCCAGGCAGGACTCTGGGGCAGTCTCCTTTCTGTGAGCAGCCTGTCTGCAGGACACACAGCTCACCCAGCTTCCACCTTCCTGGGTCTGACCTCGGAGCACTCAGCATCCTCTGCCCCTCCGTGCGCTTCCCACAGCGACTCCGCCCAGGTGGGGTCCTGGGGAAGCCAGAGGGTCCTGCCCTCCAACTCCGCCTTATTCTCTCAGCTAGCCAGTAAATCAGAGGTTTATTAGATGACAGGAACATGGTCTAACACAGAGCTTGTAGGTGCAGAGAACAGGACCCCTCAGCTGGGTCCATTTTGGGGGGCAGTGAGCCAGACAACCACGACTGCCCTTCACTCCATGTCCCCAGCCAGCCCCAAACTGAAACTCCCTCCAGCCCCTCCTCCTCTGGGCTTTGTTCCATTCCCGGGCCAGGAGGTCACCTGATTCCTTTGTTCTCCAACCCTTTAGCTCTCACCTTGCAGGTGGGAAGGGCCCAGGCCATCAGTGGCCAGGAAACAGGGTGTCGGCCATTGTCTGTGTCCAGACCCCTGCACACACCTGCCCTCTAGGGCTCTGCAACGATCATACACCCTTACCCCCACCCCCTAGAGACTTAAGAACTGCCTAGGGGAAACTGAGGCACCCCCACACTATTCAGAGGAAACATTAAGAACAGTCCCGTTTCATCACACGGGGCTGGGAGCCCGCATGCAGGGCCAGGAGCGGAGCCGCGTGTAAAACCTGGGGGTGCTGCACTATGTTCCCTCTCATTTTTCCATCCACATGCGAATGAATTTTGTTACATGCAGCACCAATAAGGAGGTGCACCAATAAGAAGGTGCCATTGTGACTTCGTCGGACTGTGTGGGAAAGTCGGGGGAAAGCTGCCCTATGGGCAGAGATTAGTAGTCGTTAGTAGCAAGTGCCACGGTAAGAAAGGCTCTCCTAGAGTTGCATAAAATAATGAATGGGACGGAGAAGGTGAACTGGGAGCTCCTCTTCACCCTCTCGACATGGACCAAGGTGGTATTCAATCACAGTGAAAAGCAACACGTCCAAAACGGCGAGAGAGACATTTTTTAACATCATGAATCACTGGCTTGTGGCACTCACTGCCTGCCATGCCACCTGTACACCAGCCTTTCTAAGCGTTCACAACAGGAGGACATGTTCATCAGAATAATACCCCGTCAGCAAGGCTCCACAGAGAGACCCTGCGGCTACCTGCCGCAGGTGGGAGACGAATAGTACCAATTACTTTCCTTTCTGCAGCTCCCGCCCCTTTGCCCCCATCTCCAGCCCAGCACAACCCAGGGTGAGTGGCTGATGGAACGCAGCTCACTGGGTCGGAGACTACACTAAGCACAGGAAACAGTGCAGGCCGGTGCCCTGAGCCGAATGCTCGAGCTCACTGCGTCTCCGCCCAAGGAGAAAAGGAATGGACCTTTCTCCAGCAGCCCCGTCTCCCATAGAGACAAGAAATACTCTCCTCCCCCAGCCTCAGAAAGACAGCCCCAAGAGTGTGAGTAGGCCTGAGGGACAGTGTGTGTGAACGGAAGAGCGGGGAAGTGAGTGTGAGCGGATCTGGGGGTGTACGGGGAAGTGAGTGTGAGCGGATCTGGGGGTGTGCGGGGAAGTGAGTGTGAGCGGATCTGGGGTGTGCGGGGAAGTGAGTGTGAGCGGATCTGTGGGTGTGCAGAGAAGTGAGTGTGAGCGGATCTGTGGGTGTGCGGGGAAGTGAGTGTGAGCGGATCTGGGGGTGTGCGGGGAAGTGAGTGTGAGCGGATCTGGGGGTGTGCGGGGAAGGGAGTGTGAGCGGATCTGGGGGTGTGAGGGGAAGTGAGTGTGAGCGGATCTGGGGGTGTGCGGGGAAGTGAGTGTGAGCGGATCTGGGGGTGTGCAGAGAAGTGAGTGTGAGCGGATCTGTGGGTGTGCGGAGAAGTGAGTGTGAGCGGATCTGGGGGTGTGCGGGGAAGTGAGTGGAGCGGATCTGTGGGTGTGCAGAGAAGTGAGTGTGAGCGGATCTGGGGGTGTGTGGGGAAGTGAGTGTGAGCGGATCTGGGGGTGTACGGGAAGTGAGTGTGAGCGGATCTGGGGGTGTGCGGGGAAGTGAGTGTGAGCGGATCTGGGGGTGTGCGGGGAAGTGAGTGTGAGCGGATCTGTGGGTGTGCGGAGAAGTGAGTGTGAGCGGATCTGGGGGTGTGGGGAAGTGAGTGTGAGCGGATCTGGGGGTGTGCAGGGAAGTGAGTGTGAGCGGATCTGGGGGTGTGTGGGGAAGTGAGTGTGAGCGGATCTGGGGGTGTGCAGAGAAGTGAGTGTGAGCGGATCTGGGGGTGTGCGGGGAAGTGAGTGTGAGGGATCTGGGGGTGTGGGGGAAGTGAGTGTGAGCGGATCTGTGGGTGTGCAGAGAAGTGAGTGTGAGCGGATCTGGGGGTGTGCGGGGAAGTGAGTGTGAGCGGATCTGTGGGTGTGCGGAGAAGTGAGTGTGAGGGATCTGGGGGTGTGGGGGAAGTGAGGTGAGCGGATCTGGGGGTGTGCGGGGAAGTGAGTGTGAGCGGATCTGGGGGTGTGCGGGGAAGTGAGTGTGAGCGGATCTGTGGGTGTGCGGAGAAGTGAGTGTGAGCGGATCTGGGGGTGTGCGGGGAAGTGAGTGTGAGCGGATCTGTGGGTGTGCAGAGAAGTGAGTGTGAGCGGATCTGGGGGTGTGCGGGGAAGTGAGTGTGAGCGGATCTGGGGGTGTGCGGGGAAGTGAGTGTGATGTCACCAGCCCCTTTGCACAGACGGAGGAGTTGCACTAACACTATTAGTCTCGAACAGAGGCTTTATGACCAAGGAGTCTGGTCCCCAAGTGCAGCGCACAGAGGTCTGGTAATTTTTCTCAGGGAAAGAAACAAGGTATTTCTTGCAATGTGCTCGTGAGTTTTACAGATAGTGTTGGTTTCTAGGGTCCGGCTGCGGGAGCAGCAGGAAGTTTCCAGGCTGGTAACTAACGTCAGCTCCAAGAGCCAGTCGGATGTTAACGTAAATGGCAATGGTTAATACGCTGCGCAGTGCTGCTGAGGGAGACCTCTCTCCCCCCGTAGAGCTGCACGCCCCAAGCTCCCCCAAGCCCCATCACAGCCACCTCACCCCACCGCCCACACCCACCCTACACATCCGCCTGGAGAACAGCCCTTGATGGCCTCCGGGGCAGCCACTCCCTTAGCGGGACCCGGGTGCTGCGGCAGCCCTGCACCCTTGGCGCCCCGCCGGCATCCCCAGGAATCACAAGAACACCCAGTGCAGTCACGGCGTACTGACCGCACCCTGCCAGGGCCATGAGCCCACGCTGCCCCAGCCACCAGTGACATGCGGTGGCCCTTGGGCCGCGTGCTCCTGGGGCCCGGGCCTGTGACCGCCCTGCCCCATGCAGCAGAGCAGCCTGGCTGCATGAGACTTGCGGGGGACGAGGCAGCCGGTGATACAGTCCCCCAACCCTTACCCAGCCCTGAAGGCACAGAGCAGGGAGCTGGGGTCTCCCAAGGGTGGTTACTCAGCGAGGGCCGCTCGGGCTCTGAGAGGGGGCTGGGGGCTGCAGACGGCTCCCTCATCACACAGGCATCAGGTTGGTGCTGGGCCCGGCTTGCCCTCCCTGTGACGATGTGACTCAGCAGGGAGGGGGGAGTGTTGACCTGGGAATGTGCCCTGGGGATGGGAGACCTGAGAGCCTGTCACCTGAGCCAGGAGGGGGAGGGGGAGGTGACACCTCTGCCCAGGAATGTGAACAGGGGCTGCAGCAGGGAACCTGCGGGGTGAGTTTAGTTGGCAGTTTGGAGGCTGGGGGGAGGAACACAGGGAACCCCAGGGCTGGGGTCTAAGCTCCCTGCTCCCCCAGAAGGATGTGATTGAGGGGTCCTGGTTGTACCCACAAGCTCTGTTGTGGACTGTGTTCCTGTTGTCCAATAAACCTTCTGTTTTACTGGCTGGCTGAGAGTCTCAGTGGATCCCAGGAAGAGGGGTGCAGGGCCTGGACTCCCCCACACTCCGTGACAACTCTGTGACCAGTGACCTGGGGAAGTTCGGGGCCCCCTCTCCGGGACAGCGCATCCGCTATCAGGTTGGCACTTCCCTTCACATGGACCACGTCCATGTCGTAATCCTGCAGGAGCAGGCTCCATCTCAGGAGCTTGGCGTTGGCTCCTTTCATCTGGTGCAGCCAGGTCAGGGGCGAGTGGTCGGTGTACACGGTGAAGTGCCGCCCGAAGAGATAGGGCTCTAGTTTCTTGAGGGCCCACACCATGGCCAGGCACTCCTTCTCGATGGCCGCGTAGTGTTGCTCCCGGGGTAGCAACTTCTTGCTCAGGTACACGATGGGGTGTCTCTCCCCCTTTTCATCCTCCTGCATTAACACCGCCCCAGTCC